TTCAAAGTTTAATCTATCAAATGGGCAATTTTGCTGTTACATTCGATATATAGTTTTAAGGTATCCTATATTTATGGGTAAAAGTTCTCCATGTCAGAGATAGATCATATGTAAGCATAAAAGTGGACACTGGGGGTCAAAACAAAGTGTCAACACAATCTTCAGGCCTGAAAATTGTGTTGATGACTGTTGTCACTTGGTGACACTTTGTTTTGACCCCATGCTTACATATTATCTATCTCTGACACGGAGAACTTTTACCCATAAATATAGGATACCTTAAAACTAAATTTGGTGATTATTGCTTAACACTTGTCTGACAGTTTTGTTTTGCAGAGAATTATAGCAGAAGTCTTTCTCATTCTAAAAAGGATACTGGTCAGTGAAAGTGTCATTTTGTTCTGGGTCCAGTACTTCCAGCAGAGCAGCTGCTGGATCCCCATGAATGCTTTTATTCTACAAAAGAGTCACAGACAAAAAAATAGAATTACATGACTTAGCCTAAAATAAGAATGTATAACTCAAGAATCACTAATACAAACAGTTAATACATTAATATACGAGTTCTATATGAAAATGAAAAGTAACAAGACTGGTGTCACAAACAAGTTATTTCAATTCCAAACAACAAACTACATGGTTTCCCCTTCAAAGTAATACCCCTAGAGTCTAATGCACTTTCCCATCCTTCTCTTCTATACACTGCTAGAACGATCCTTCTCTGATGCCCCCCTCAGCTCCACCATTACAGCCCTCTTGATGGCCTCCACACCTTTAAAATGAGTCCACTGATGATCCTGTTGAGTAGACTGTGAGCATTCTACTAGATTGGCAGCAAGATCTCATCATCTCATAGTTGAAATGGTTAGATGTAAGCATAACTTCTATGCTAACAGTTTCTTCTATCACACTTCTTACTTGTGGAGCTCTCTTCTGGTTTCTTGCTTTCCAGTCAACTTTGACCTTCAAAAGTTTAAATGCAATTTCAATCATTATCTTCTGTCGTCTTAATTCTTGTCCTTTTATTGTTCTCTCTACTCAATAATGTTTTTCTTTCTCCCATATTCTTTCACTGTTTTCAGTAACCCCCTTGTGTCTTAGTGGCTCTATTGCCTTGCTCAGGATGAAATGGCAATGAATTGTACTACACCAATCTTCCAGGTAGGGTAAACCTTCCTGCTTGAAAAATCAGAAAATTTTAAATGACCTCAGACACCAAGCATTAATGCTGATGGAAATCTGTAACACTGTGTTATGTGTCCAATATGGCAACGTGATACAGAAACGAAATTTATAAGATGGTTCCATGTTGATAATGCAAAAATACTTAGTAAAACCAACTGTAAAAAAAAAAAAAAAAAAAAAAAAGTCAGTACTGTTTAATTTTGAAATTGACTACTTGCATTATTTAGTCATTTCACTATAAGCAAGATAATAATGCTAATAGGATGCAAGGGGTTACTGCGAGTGAAAGACAATGAAAAAGACTGTAGTGAAAAGAAAAGACAATAAAAGAACAGGATTCAGGAAGACAGCAAATGGCATTGCATTTGAAGATTTTAAGTGACAGGGAAGCAAGAATCTGGAAGAAAGTTCCACAGGCAAGAAGTGCAAGAAAAGAAACTATTAAAATAAAACACAAGATTGCATCTAGATAGTTCAACAGTAGAACGGAGAGACCTAGTTGCCAATCTAGTAGCATGCTTAAATTCGTGCAGTCAAAGTAGAAAAGAGAAAAGCTCATCAGAACAATTGCCTTGAAAATATCTTTTGAAAAGACAGATAGAAGCCATGTCACTGAAGCCACGATGCCAGGTTAGGACTGTTTACATTACAGAATCTTGAGATATATAGTAAAGGGCATCAGACCTAATGTAGCAGCAATGCATGGTCAAATGGTAGATTTATAAATGTGCAAGATGGATTACGACAGCAATTGAGTCAATATAATCACTACTTCATGTCAGTGGAAAATATTAGCCAAAGAATGTGCTAAGGTACCCTCCTAGGTTAGGTCTGGTCTAATTTTGACTACTAATAAGAAAAGAATAAATTCAAAATCCACTAGTGACTTCCTTTCAAAAGTATCCAAAATCCATTTCTTGCAGAGCAATCTGTTAATCGAGGCCCGAGAGCCACTCAGTGTAGAGAGTTACTGAGTGAGATTATTTTAAGGAAGGAGGAAGTAAGTAATGCATATTATGAGGAAGTGTAGGATAGATATCTATTGACCCTGGACTAGAAACCATGATTATAGTTGTCAGGGAAGCATCCTCTAGGGAGTTTATTCCATAAAATAACAGTTCTGGAGATGAAGCCGTCTGAGTGAAACTCACTCCTTATCAAAGGAACACAAAGGGGACGAGGACATTTTGCCACCAGGAACATGGAATAGCAGATCTGTGAAGCTATGAGCTGGTGGAATATAGGAACATAATCCATCTGAACAACAAACAAGTAGATATTAAATGGGTTCACTTTTGTTTTACAAATAAGTAATAAACAGATCCTCTACTTTCTGTCATATTTATGTTTCTTTATATTTCGCAATTTGTAGAAAGCATGTGTGTCAGATTTGTCAGATTGGGTAACTTTTGAAAGCCCATGACTTCTAAATTTTGAATTTTGTAATTTTCAAATAGAGTCCAATTCACTATTCTGGGGCCTTCAAATAGAGTCCAATTCACTATTCTGGGGCCTTCAAATAGAGTCCAATTCACTATTCTGGGGCCTTCAAATAGAGTCCAATTCACTATTCTGGGGCCTTCAAATAGAGTCCAATTCACTATTCTGGGGCCTTCAAATAGAGTCCAATTCACTATTCTGGGGCCTTCAGATGTAGTCCAATTCACTATTCTGGGGCCTTCAGATGTAGTCCAATTCACTATTCTGGGGCCTTCAGATGTAGTCCAATTCACTATTCTGGGGCCTTCAGATGTAGTCCAATTCACTATTCTGGGCCTTCAAAAGATAGTTTAATTTCCTACTTGTAGGAGCAATCAGGCAATCTTGAACCATTGGGTTATTGTTGCCATTCTTTTGTTTTTGCTTTCAGTGATAAAATAAAATGTGCCTTTTTTTTTTCATTTATCAGAGTGATTTTAGAGGGCTTTAAAATGCAAGACTGAATTTACTCACCATTTTATCAATCTCATCAAGTAAGAAAACTGGGTTGTTTGTCCCAACCAGTTTCAAACCCTGTATGATGCGGCCAGGCATACTGCCAATATATGTGCGTCTATGGCCTCGTATATCTGACTGATCACTCACCCCACCTAACGCAATTCTGCAATTCAAAAGAAAAACTTAGCAGAAAATAATTTTCAGAGAAAGCCAATTTCTTCTTTTAAAAGTCATATTATGAATGAAATAAAAACTTTTCATTACTCATTATGACATTGAAGTTTCAAAATATTTGATAATCAAATTATATAGTTATTATTATTCATCTGTGTTTTTATTCTAATCACAAAGATTCTTGTAAGATTTATTTTTGCAACATATCAAACTATGAGAATCTCATAACAAATTTGAATTTACCATGGCTTCAATAAATTATAAAAAAAGGCATTACTAAATAACACAGAAAGTTTCAGGGTATGAGATACAAGTTTAAGTGTTGTCTAATGTAACTGTTTTGAATTCCAATAAAATGAAACATATATATATATATATATATATATATATATATATATATATATACACACACAAATATAAAAGTGAACATAGAAGTCAACTCTTAGAGGTGACAGTCTGTTTCATGCTATATGCAATCGTCAGGCCTATGTTCACTTTTATATTTACACACGCTCTATGTTCACTTTTATATTTACACACGCTCTATGTTCACTTTTATATTTACACACGCTCTATCTCTAATATTGAGCACTTTATCCCATAAATATAGTACACCTTAAGACTATATTTCTTCATACATATATATATATATATATATAAACTGCAGGAAATGTAAGACTCGGAAAGGCATTATATGCCCAAACTAGCAGAAGTGTTAAGGTGTAAAATATAGTTATATAATTTAACATATAATAAATGAATTAAAATAGAATTTGCTGTTTTTTTTTTGTTGTTTTTGAACATCTTTTTCATTACTTACATTTAATAGACGTTATACATTTGGATTCATACAATACTTTTGCCCATTCTTAATATAATTTGAGTAAATATATTTATTCCTATATATATATATCAATTAAGCACTGAATATACCAAGACAGAATAAAACTTTCCACCTCCAGGAATAAATTTATTTACTCAAAAAACAGCAAATTCCATTTTAATTCATTTATTATGTTAAACTTTTATATATATATATATATATATATATATATATATATATAACACCTTAACACTTCTGCTACTGTGGGCATATAATGCCTTTCCAAGTTTTACATTTCCTGCAGTTAATGAGATATATATATATATATATATATATATATTAACAGCAGGCAAAGTAAGTTTTTAAAAATGTACAAGCAGTGGAAGTGTTAATTGTGTATTTATTTTTTTAATTTCTATAATACAAATTTTTATTTAAATTTCTGTAATTAAATCCGTATTTTACAATGAGCATTAATTTGTTAAGAGAACAGCTTAGTGAAAATATTTACCTGTCTAAATAGAAAAAAAAAAGGAAGAGAGAAATTCAAAATTTTACCTGTGGAATTCTCTGCCCAAAATATGAGCAATTGATCGCCCAATACTAGTCTTGCCAACTCCTGGGGGTCCTACAAAGCACATAATTGGTCCCTTAAGGCTATTTTTTAGTTGCCGCACTGCAAGATATTCAAGCACTCTGTTCTTTACTTTTTCAAGTCCATAATGGTCAACATCAAGGGCTTCCCTGTTGAGGGGAGAATAAACAATTATTTTTAATGGTTTGTGTGTTTGATGTCAAATGTATTTATATAGCTCCTTGTTTGCAACTTTTTGATTTACAAGAATTATCTCCCTTGAATTAGACACGCCAAGTAGCAGTGTCCTTGCTGTGACAATGCAAGGATTAACTAATGATTTTTCACCTCTTCGTTTTGTAAACATCATCAGACTCCATGAATTGAGAGAAAAAATTTACTTAAGAAATTCACATTTGAAAACTTTCTCATAATAGTAGGTATCTTAAAAAAGCTAAACTTCAGAAATGCCATCATTTTTTTATAAAAATAGATAAACTTGTAAAGAAATATGAAGTTGTTTTGGAGAATGAACACCAATTTTTATATCTTTTACCATTTTTTTTTTTTTACTCATATTTTTTATTAGCATATTTAAAACTGTTTATCCATATCTGGATAAGTGTGAATATATAAAGCTTATATAAATTTTGATATTGCAAAAATCACAAGAAAAATACAGGAAAGATGAAAGAGAAAAGACGAAAGAAAAGAGAAAAGATGAAAGAAAAGAGAAAAGACGAAAGAAAAGAGAAAAGACGAGGAGAAAAGACGAAAGACGAGGAGAGGGAGAAAAGAGCAAGACGAGGAGAGGGAGAAAAGAGCAAGACGAGGAGAGGGAGAAAAAAAAGGGAAAGAGAAGAGAGAAAAAAAAAGGGAAAGAGAAGAGAGAAAAAAAAAGGGAAAGAGAAGAGAGAAAAAAAAAGGGAAAGAGAAGAGAGAAAAAAAAAGGGAAAGAGAAGAGAGAGAAAAAAGGGAAAGAGAAGAGAGAGAAAAAGAAAACAAAAAATCATAAAATGAAAGAGGAGAAGGAGGAAAAATAATAACAGAATAAATTTAAAGAGTAAAAAAGGAATGAAAAAGATTCCAAACTGTCACAAAATCTCTATTATACTTGACCAAATCTTTAATCATATCAATTCATGTCATTATTTAGTCATCAAAATATTTGTCCGAACTTTTATGACCATATACTATTTTATCACAATGATTTCAGTTTTAAATCTCTAACCTTCCTACAAGACAATGGCCTAGTGGAGAAAAGTATTGGTGTGGTGACATAGTGGTTATAAATTCAATCAGGAAGTGTGTACTTGCACTCAGTGGAAACGGCTGAACAATAACTGAACAGTACTAAATAAAATAACAACTAGACAATATCCCTAGCCATGAGCAGTGGATTGAGAACAATCTACCCACTATAAATTAAATAAAGGGTTCAGTTCCAAATTCTCTGCAGGTTACCAAGATTTATATAGACTTGAGGAAGGGTATAAACTGCTGGAACATTGGGATAACAACAACAAGTTTGAATATAAAGAGTCTAAATAATGATACTCCTAATCCCAGAAATTCAGACGAAAAACTTAGTTTTAATTCTTCAAAGATTTTTTTCTCCATATCTTTACCTTCTTGGAACTATTGACCAAACACCAGACAAGAATTTAGATGGAAAAATGAGATTCTAATAAAAGATGTATATTTAAGTGTAACTGACTCCTGCACTGGACACCACCAGTCTCTTCATCTTTCTCTTTCAATTTGTTATGCATAATTATTCAACCCAGAGAAATGTTTTAATGTAAATTTTTTTCGGCTCATTATGGAGGAAAATTTGCTCTATCACCTTTCTGCTATATGGAAATATCTTAAATACTGGTGTCAGATTGTAATTTCTTTTATTATTAATATCTGGACAAAAAATAAAAAATGTGTTTGAAGAAACAATTTTACATAATTTTTCCATAAAAATATTTTTTGTACTTTCTATAATATTTTCTGTTGAAAATTTAATAAGAAAAAAAATAAAATATACTTTTTCTTTTACACTTACTAATTACTATTATGTAATTACTGTACATAATCAGTGTCCCTGCACATGAATAAATGAAATAACAAAAATATTGTAAAATAGATATCACTTAGTCATCCATTACATTTCTCTCAACTTGGGATTAGAAGTCAACTAGGACTAACTTTCAGGATACTATATAGAAAATAGTCACGTGTACCCTGATTATTGAAAGGATCTTACTAGTTCACTATAACAGTACTAAGGAACTATTTTGAGTGTCATTATACACTCTCTTTAAAATTTACATTTTTACAAACAAAAATAAACTATTTTTATCATTATTTTATTCTAAACATTTATTCTAAACATTTATTCTAAACATGTATTCTTTAAACAAAATAATATAGGTAATTTTGAAATCATTTTCTTTAAATAAAACTTTTTATGCCAAGTGTAAATGCTGATGAAAATTAATTTCTCTCTGGAAAAAAAAAAAAAAGAAAAAAAAGAAAAAAATCAACTAAATATAGACAATGGCAAAAAATGCATTATTAAACGAATTCAACTGTTTTTTACTTTTTTAGTATTTTTTAACAAATTTGCTTCAAATTGGATTAAAAAGTTATTTCTTTCCCACAAAAAGCCTACTGAGGTTATCTCCTTAGATTAATAGTGAGAAAAAGGAAAGAGTTATTGCCCTTAAGCTCCTAAAGGAAAAAAAAAAAAAAATAAGGAAAAAAAAAAAAAAAAAAAAAAAAAAAAAAAAAAAAAAAAAAAGAAAAAAGAAAAAAGAAAAAAAAAAAAAAAAAAAAGAAAAAGAAAAAAAAAAGAAAAAAAAAAAAAAAAAGAAAAAGAAAAAGAAAAGAAAAGAAAAAGAAGGAAAAAGAAAAAAAGGAAAAAGAAAAAAAGGAAAAGAAAAAAGGAAAAAAAGGAAAAGAAAAAAAGGAAAAGAAAAAAGGAAAAAAAAAAAAAAGGAAAAGAAAAAAAGGAAAAAAAAAAAGGAAAAAAAAAAAAAAAAAAAAAAAAAGAAAAAAAAAAAAAAAAAAACTTATAAATTGTTTACAGTACAAGCCTGAAAATTTCTCAGGATTCTCCTCCAAAATTCTGATGATCACGTTTTTATTAGAAGTATTAGAAGTTATATTGGGCTTCTTTCTAGAACTATATATCAAAATAAAAGCAATGCAATCACATTTACCTTGCTTGCACAATGTCCAGAGTGTCTTTGTTACTTTTGGACCATGGCAATTCAACCATTAACTCCAGATAATTCCTGCAAAATAAACAAGAGATACCAGCATCTAAATAAAGTATACTTCTTTTAAAAAAATACAGAATGTCAAAGCTCTATAAAATAAACATACTCTGACCCTTAAAAAAAAAAAAAAATATCAATAAAATTCCTCCAACTCTTTCAGTTACATGTCATGGAACAAAATGCCAACTTTTCCCTCAGTATCAGAAACTGATCACAATCTAGAAATTGCTTATGACTACATACTAGTTCCTCCCTCCTTATGGATCATTTAATATCAAAATTTAATCTTCTTTGGATTTTTCAAGTAATAAAAATATGATATATGCTATTCTGCTTTCAAAATTGATTACATGGTAGATGATACTCAGCTTTTGTGCATATACATATTTCTGTGGACATAATTACTAAAGGCAGTGATATGTGTGTTTTATGTTGTAGTCTTGTTGAAGTTATATTTTGGAATAAAGTTTGATTTCTTTAAGAAAATGTAGGATATATGGATTAATGTCATGAAAGAGTTCTTTCATGATGGTTGTTTTTGTTTGGTGCTATATCAACTTCTACGGGTTATATTTAATGCCAAAATCTAAATATTTTGTAAATAATTTATGCTTTCAACTACAGATATTTCGCACATAATTCATACTTTCAGAGTAAAGGTATGTTTTATATATATATATATATATATATATATATATATATATATATATATATATATATATACACACACAATAAAATGTATTGCTGGTAATTTTACTATCAAAATGTACTGATGATTTTTGCTAAGGGTGGGAGGGGTTACTATTTGCCTGTAGCTAGGACCCTAACAGGTGCTACCACCCCAGGTCAGGGTAGCCCAGGGAACAACAACAATTAGGAGATGGTTCCATGCTCCTCAAACCTCCTATCTCCCAATCACAGGCCTTGCTGCCAAATGTACTTTATCATCATGCCCAGGACAACAGTGAGGTTTTTGACTGGATAAGCAAGCAGGTCTGGAAAAAAGGCTGGCACAGGGAAGTTTTCTTACTCACTGTACTCTCATCATAAACAAGTTGTGTGCAACAGTTCCCTGCTCAGGAAAATAAATGTGGCCCATACAGACCACATTGCATGGTGTTATTCATTATTACAAGAAAGACTAATCCAGAGGAAAAAGTCAGCTTTTGATTTTCTGTGAGGAATCAAGACAGGTATTCAGCTGAAGACAGCTGATACAACCCACTACAAAACAATGACCACAGTTTGCCAAACACCAATGTGGAGGCCACAAACCATTGAATTGGGGATGGGGAGGATATCACTTTTTTAAATTACCAAAAATCAGGGAATTATCCAATTTAAATTAAAATTTCAGTACATATTACTTATTTATTATTTTTAATTGAATAGTTTTTTTATTTTAAGAAATCTGAGAAAATGTTGTTCTTTTTGTAATAACCACCAATATTTTCATCACTAAATTTTACTTAAAAAAAAAAAAAAAAAAAAAAAAAAAGAGAAAAAGTTTGTCACCAATTTTTACATTTCCATAAAGATTAATCACTGTTGCATCTCCGCTGCAAAAAATAGTTTTACAAAGGTTCTAAAACAGCACAATCAGGGCTGTCTTAAAAATTTGTTTTAGAAACAGTATTTAAGTTTAAAAACTTTAAACATTTTTATTTTTTATATAATCATTTTATCGGTTTTATCTTTCTAGAAATGTAAAAAGTAGGGATTAGAAATTTTATTTTAATTACTAGCCATGGTTCAGGTTAGTATTACTATTAGTAAAAAAAAAAAAAATTTAGAGATCCTTCTTAATGGATGATCTCGGAATAAAAAAAAAAAGTGATTTTATCAAGATATATTACCTTCTTAATTAATTGAAATGAACTGTTCAGAAAGAAAATTACAATTTAAAAAATAAGTGCTACTGAAATTAGTATTTCTGCTAAGCAACAGGCACTGAGAGGTTGAGAGGTTCAAGTTAGTCAGCACCGGCCCTTTTGATTCTTATAGTTAATGTTTGACAATATAAATTAGGTAAAAAAGAAGTAAAAAGTACAAAAAGCAGACCCCCCCACCAAAAAAAACACTGCTGAAACTCACTTTTTGGGCTCCAACCATATCAGGGCTTCCTGCATAGTACACACCACACCAGTCACACAGATACACAATGTATATTATTAGTTGATTGACAATGTAACATCAGTTTAAAAATAATTTTAAAAACTGGCAAATAGCCATAAAACAGTGCTGGGGTAAAAACAAAAAAAAAAAAAACAACACAGAAACCTGCCTCCGATATCTTCCAAACACCTCTTAGCAAAATAAAGTCTCCAACAACACTGTACTTAAGAGGGCTGAGATTCCCATCCTATAAATCCTCTTTAAAGCCAAGACATTTGATCTGACTAAGACACATCGTGCAAATGAATTGCAGTCAAATGCCCAGGGACCTTCTGTATGAAGAATGACCTCGGGGAAACTAACATTTGCCCAATAGTCACAGATAAAAAGTCAAAGGAGGAAAGCCTAAAGTCTGACAGATTGGTTGAATAATTTTTATGGTTTATCAACCTTTTGTAGGTTATTTAAAACCAAAACAGATTTTGAATATTAAGAATAATTTTTTTTTGTTTTTTTTAGTGAGCGAATATTGTATTAATAATTTTTTGAGAATAACTGTATTTTTCCAGATACAAGTTCTACTATTTAATCCATAGCTGGAAGGAGAAGAGATGGATCCATACATTTTTCAAGGGTATTTACTTGTAAGTGTATATAATGAACCTGGCTGGAATTTGAATTCAGCTCTCCCTTACAACAATCTCACTCAGTAACTCTTTACTTTGAGTGGCTCTTGGGGCTTGTATTGGGTGAACTAAGAGTAAGAAAAGAAAAAAAAAGAAATTACCCATTATTATTCCTTCAATAAGCAATTATATTCAACCTAATTACAATTAACGGTAGATAAAGTAGTAATAATAGTTCTATTATCATTCTGTGAAGCTTGAGGTATACTTGTCAAAATATTGTGACAAGATTTCATCACTATTTTTTGTAATTAGGCTTATTCCATTTCGGCAATTGTTTGATTCAAGTTGATTCTACCTTCAGCATACAACCACATCACAGTGAAACACTAGTTCCAGTAAGATCATTGAATACCAAGCCTTGTCAGTAACTAGATGAGTGACAGTTTTGGAATACCAGGTGCTGTAAGCTTGGATGTGCAAGTGGTGTAATGGATAATGGCTTGGAATTGGAAATTGGAGAACCAAGTTCTAATTACAGTTAGGCCTGTTATATTCACTTAAGCATAAATACCCTTCATAAATGTATAAATTTTTTCTCTCCCCAACTATGGGTTAATTAGTAAGACTTGTATCACTAAATTATTATCTCCAAAAAAAAAAAAAAAAAAAAAAAAATTCTTTCAATCTAAAAATATTTTCTTGCTTTAAATAACCTGCAAAGGTTTGATAAGCCATAGAAATGAATCAATTAATCAACGTCTACATCCAGGCCCTAGACAAACACCGAATTACTGGTTGCACCATAATTGTGGCCCTGTGCTAAACTAAGCTTAGTAAATATTGACAAAATTAGGTCTGTATTACCCCATGTTAGCCAGACAATTTGCAGGTGAGATGCTAGCTGTCCATTTTGTAAGTAAAATAAAACTGAAGCCCTTCACCTGTCAGACTGAAGATTCTCTTCTCTGAGCGGAGTATTTAAAACTCATTGTCAAACAAACATAAGATGAGGAAGAATAAGATGAAGCAAAAATAAATTACACATTCCCCACCAATTTTAGAATCAGAGATTTCCCACTTTTTAAATTAATTGTCAACAATGCCAAAGTCATGGCATTCACAACATTTCTAAACAGCAAAAACAAACTTACCTGATCATTGCATGTTCTGGCATATTTGGAAGCATTTTCTTGAAGCGACGCAGTTCTTTCATCGCAGCCTTATATGCGCATTCAGGCATTTTGGCAAGTCTATAATATTAAAAAAAAAAACAAAAAAAAAAAAAAACTATTAAACAAACAACTAACCTCTGATTTTGGGTACTATGCTAAATCAAAGTGGTGATATGTGAGTGATGGTTAATAAGCTAGACTTATGACACTTCCAGAGGATGTGGGCTAAGGCTATTCATCTCTTCCAGAGGATGTGGGCTAAGGCTATTCATCTCTTCCAGAGGATGTGGGCTAAGGCTATTCATCTCTTCCAGAGGATGTGGGCTAAGGCTATTCATCTCTTCCAGAGGATGGGGGATAAGGCTGCAGGCCTCTTCCCAAGGATACAGACCGCTTCTCAAGAACGCATGCTAAGGTCATGGGTCTCTTCCCAAGGACACGGGCTATGACTGAAGAGAATATGCAGTCTAAGGCCATGTCCACCTTCCCGAGGATGCCGTGTAAGTGCGCCAAGCCCCCTGCCTGAGGACATGGGCTAAGAGCAAGAAATGCCTTCCAGTGGACATGGGCTAAGGCCACGAATCCTTTCCCAAGGATGCAGTCTAAGGCCATAAGCCACTCCCAATGATACATGCTAAAGCTAAAAACCCATTCACATGGTTGTGGGCTTCTTTCTAAGGATGCAAGCTAAGACTATGAGCATCTTCCTAAGGACACGGGCTAAGGCTACATGCCTCTTCCTTAGGACGTGGGCTAAGGCTACATGCCTCTTCCTTAGGATGCAAGCTAAGGCTACATGCCTCTTCCTTAGGACGTGGGCCTGCCTCTTCCTTACGGGGCTAAGGCAAGCATGCCTCTTCCTAGGACGTGGGCTGCTACATGCCTCTTCCTTAGGACGTGGGCTAAGGCTACATGCCTCTTCCGTAGGATGCAAGCTAAGGTTACAGGTTATTTATATGGACTAATGTTGGGGAAGAGTTCTTTCATGTTGGTTGTTTGATTTTGTTTGGTGGCATATCAACCTCTATGGGTTATTTAATGCCGAAATTTAAATATTTTGTACATAATCTTATGCTTTCAACTACAGATATTTTGCACATAATTTATATTTTCAGAGTGAAGGTGTTTTTTAGATATATATTTTGTACATCATAAAATCTGTTGTTGGCAATCCTTCCTGAGAAGGCTACAGGCCTCTTCCCAAGGACACAGGCTAAAATTGTGGGTCTCTTAGGCTTAACCTGTGTCATTGTGAATGGGTCCTCTGGAAGGGGCTCATGGCCTTAGACTGTGTCCTCAAGAAGAGGCCTGTAGCCTTAGCTATATCTTTGAGAAGCCTGTACAGGTCTCCTCCCAGGGATTCAGGCTAAGGTTACAGCCCCTTTTAGAAGAAAACAAAAATCCCAGGAATATTAATTTTTGTTTTTATGAATGAAAGTGGCTAAAAGACAGTAAAACACTGCATTTTACTTTTTCACTGTGCTGATAAATTTATTTACAATTCTAAAAGTTGACAGCCATTACTAACTTGAAAGTATGCTCTTTCATATCAGTAAAAAAAATTCTCATATCAGATTTATTAAATAATCTAAGGTTCAATAAAAATAAAAATAAAAAATACATACTTGATTTTGTGTTCTAGATCAGCGGTATCATCATTCTCCATCTCTTCTTCATCATCCAACTCATCTCCAAGACGCCTCAGTAGTCGCCTCGAATTGGAAGGTCGAGAAAGTTCCTTTCGGGTCACGATTTCAACATTTTCCTTCTTGGAAGGTCGAAAAACCTGAAATTTTTTTTTTTTCACTCATCAGAAAAAAGCAGAAGATTCAACTCATTTTCCTGTCACCTTCTACAAAGAAATTATGATGGAAAACCCTGAAATTTTTTTTTTCACTAAAACATCAGCAAAAAAGCAGAAGATTCCAACTCATGCATAAATAAAAAAGACGGGGACTAATGTCACAAAATATGACATCAAATCTACAAAGAAATTATGATGGAAAGATGTTTATACCATAATTTATAAGCTCAGTACAGAAATTATCCAGCTATTCAATAATAACAAAAAAATGTAGTCTACACTATTTACATTATTCAGACAATTCTCCTCATCTCCTGGGACAATGGTGAAATAAAGGTTAGTCAGAGTCTTATTGTGGACAATGTTTATATTCTCAAGCAAGATTTGGTATACATAGGCAATGAATGCAACAGTCATATGGTAAAGAGTAATCCCAAGGGAGAGTGTTCATTTACACCTCCACAGCAAGGCTCTTTCTGATTGGTTGTCATGTTATACCAAAACTGTTGTACAGTGTAACCCGGATATAAGAGAGTTATTGGGACCAGAGAAGAAGTCTCTTATATTCGGGTTTATCTTATATCCGGGTTTGGTCTATTTTATATACATTAACACAGGCTCTAATTTGGGACCAGAGAAAATCTCTCTTATATCCGGGTTTCTCTTATATCCGGGTTACACTGTATTGGTTTTCTGGATTTTTCAAAATGGTTGGATATTTTCCGGACATACTTTTGGAAGATTTTTTTTTAATGTGTTTAACATTTATTTCTCTTTTGAAGAGCAGACATTGTAAATCTATCACTATGTCTTTTCTTAATTAAAGCAGTAAAGAAAACATCCTAATCAATAAATAAAATACACAAAGAGAAATTGGCTCATACAACTCCCTTTTAAACTCTTAAAAATTTACGTTAAAAACTAGTTTTTCTATTTTACGAAGAGATAAAAAAAAAACAAAAGCAACCATTTTTATTGATTTGCATGAACAAAATTATTAACTATGTGGTATTTAATCATTTTAATTAAAGAGAAAGTAATTTTAAAGATAGTTTTAAGTTAAATGCGTATTTAAATGCGATCAAAATTAATTTCCAAACCAAAAGTGAGTTAATAATGTAAAACTAGGTACCTCCATGAAATCACTAAAAATCGAGCATAGAATGGTGAAAAAAACACCAAACTTGATGAAAACAAAATGTTATTGTCTAAATGTTTATGTTATTATTAAGAGGAAAAACCAAGGTATTTTTTAATTATTTTTTAAATTTTTCCTTTTTAGAACATTCTAAGTTTTGATTAAAAAATCTTTCTTTTTATATCAGCAGAACTAGTAAATAATATTTTTTTTTTTTTTTTTTTGTATGAAAGACATTAATTTGGAAAATCTTGCAAAAATAAAAATAATTGTCGGATGTTAATGAAATTTCAGAAACTATTCACAAATGATGGAAATTATTATAAATATGTTTACTTTTTTGAAAGTCATGGCAAAAATATTTTTTTAAATATTTATTACCCCTCCCCCATAACTAATTTTATGAAAACTCTAGAAATTCAATAGCATTGAGTTTAGTGATTATATTATCAAGGCTTTGAAGAAAGAAAATCATGTATTTTTTTTTTTTTTGTTGACCCCCACACACACACACACACTACCTGAAAATCAGCTCTGAATTGTAACATACAAAACTCAATAAAACAAAAAAATTATTTAATTTCAAATGCTTTTATTTGCTTTTGGTTGTTTTTATGATTATGGATAATATTGTCTGAAAGCAATAACCTTTTTTGATGAAAAATGAATTTTTAAAACAATTATTGGTTATTTCTTAAATTATTTTATTATGTAACGTCCCTCTACAGCCTTCGCTCGCTCCTCGCTGCTTCATTCGGGTGTCGCCGCTCCAAACGCAACGTCCGCCTGTCTGCCTCAGTCGTGTTGTCCCGTCCTGTGACGATCAACTGGCTTGGTATTGGTCGCGGCACCCAAATGTGACGTTCTAACCTTTTGGTGATTCGGATGGGAATCTGGTCAGATCCGATATCAGCCTCGTCATTCCCAACTCGCTTCCAACGTCTGGTTACCAAAGTAACTGCGTTGATCTCCAGTCCGCCTACCCACGTTGTGAATTGATCTTAGGCAGACGAAATCAATCAGTCGTTGGGGCCATAACGCAAGTTGAGTTCAAATGAGGGTTGTATCGCACAAATATGTGTAAAAGAAAATAAAATAATAACTCAAAAGTTCAAGGTATCAAAAAAAAGGATAACAATACTTTATATCTGGTTGCTGGATACATAGGACTGCGTCTATCTCCCGACCCGCTATATGGATTGTGACACGTTTTTGTTAGGTGAGTTTTAACATCTTAAGTTGTCTGTTCTTTAAGAAATTGGTTCTTGGTGTGTCTTCAGGCGATAGTCGTAAAATTTATTTTGGTGGTATGGATCTAAGTCGCTCTTCAAAAATAAATTGTTCTTGGATTGAAGATGAGTTCGGAAGTTGCGCGAATCTTTCAAGTCAGCTCTGCGAGGCCCGCTTCAACTGAGCACTGGAGACTGAACTGATTTTCACTTGCTGCGACTTTGCTTATATGGACGCCGACCAAAACCGGGGTGGGCTTTGTCGGGGTTTGAGGTTCCTTGATAATTCTAAATCCATATCCACTTCTTTATTTTCGGTCAGGAATTTTCCACTCCTTTCCATTTTTGAAGTCTTCTCTTACCCCCACCTTCTCTTATTCTCATATGGATATCTCACCATACTTCAGAGGGGCGTCAACGGTTCTCCCCACTTCTTCGTAGCAACTTCTCATACTTATCCTCTAAATGGGTGGTGGCGGGCTCTCGTTAGCATTCATCCAATGGTCGATCAACAGTGTGGTGTGACCAGACTAGCCTTGTTTCTTAAAAAAAATATCTTGCTCAAAGAAAAAAAAAAAAGAATTATCTTCTCTCTTTTCTTTTTCTCTCTATTTCCTCTCCTTCTTTTCTTTTCTATTCTCTCTTCTTCTCTGGCCACCAACAGAACAATGCGACCAGTAGTGTGATAACCTCAATTCTCATCTGTACTTCGTCAGTCAGATTTTCGCCAATTATCAGAATGGGTGGTCGTCCAGCAAAACACAGCCAATTTCCATCCTGAAAAAACAGTTTCATTGTCCTAGCCGTATTTGCATTCTTGGTGCCAATTTCTGATAACATAGAATTCGGTTATGATAATAAAACTAACACCCATAGATGTCTTGTCAAAACGGCAAAGACTTAACCCAGGGTTGGCTTTTTGTGCGGTTAACAGATGACCTATTAAATCCTTTCCTGACAATATTGTTTGCCCGGTCGTGGGTGGTTTCCTTTATCATCTAAGCTTAAGTCTCGCCTCTCTTTTCCTTTCTCTTTTCTTTTTTTTTTCTTTTTCGTTTTCTTTGCTTCCAAAATGGTGTCACAATTATTTTTACATTAAAGTGTTAAATATTCTAAAATTAGTGAAAACAGCATTCAGTTTAGTTGATGGTGTTATTAAATAGATCTATTTTTACAGCATTATAAATTGTATAGCTTCTAACAATCAGAAGCCCTGCACTAAGAAATCTAATTTTGTGTCCATAAAATGGCTATAATTAAAAAGTACAGAAGAACACAATCAAGTCGCATTATATGAGTTAAGCATTGTTCTCCACTGTTAGGGCCTTTATTTTTGCAAAACACATGTGGAGAAATTAATTTGATTTTTCAATTTACACTGAGAAGGGTACCTACATCACCTTATGAAATTTATATGATCTTATTTTTATATTAATCTCAATTGTGATATATTTTTCCATAAATTAAATATCAAAATTAATAATAAAATGAATGGAAATACAAATAACACAGTAAAATGTAATAAATGTACATAAAATTATAATATTTTATGTATACTTCTGCTAAACTTACATAACAAAAGGTACGTATAAATTAATTAGATACCTTTCTTATGAAATTTAATCTCACTCTTAACAGTCTTATTTTAATTTTTTTATAATATATTTTCCATAAAGTATCATAAACATAAAAGGTAAAAGCTAAGTACAAAAAAAAAAATTAGAGAGCTGAAAGTTTTCCTTAAAAATAATAAGGTAAATAATTTGTTCACTTAAATCTAAATAATTATGTCACCTCTGTCCTTCCATACGATAACTTTTCCTCACATGACCCCAAATGTTATGACCTGCTTTGTCTCATTTTTAAAATATATCTTTTCAATGCAGAAAGTAATGTTTGTTTCAAAATATCTTACTTATTATAAAACGCAGATTGTGTGTGTGTGTCTGTAACGTTTATATATTGGATCGAATTTCCTACATTTTTTAGCCGATTTCAACAAAACTTCACAGGACTACATAGAATTACCTTGTGGTGGTTCTTACGGTGCCGAAAATGGGAAAAACATTGTTTTTTTAAACAAAATCAATTTGAAAACACGATTAAGACACATCATGAGAATGAAAGGGGGACAACTCACCCACGAAAATGTAAACAAAATAGCATGATGAAAAAAAAGCCGAACTTGACGAAAACAAAATTTTATCGTCTAATGTTCATATTATTATTAAAGAGGAAAGATCAAAGTATTTTGGGGGTATTTTTTTTTTACATTTTTTAATCGTTCTTAGCACGTCTGAAATTTTCGTTAAAAATATTGTTTTTTTTTGGTCAAAAAAAAAAAAAAAAAAAAAAAAAGGACAGATAATCAATCATTTTTTTCGATTTGATAAAATAGGGAAAGATAATTCCACGTACTTTAGTGCCGTTTTTTCAATTCCCTTTACAATTTGTTACAAGGCAGATCAATAAGGCATTGGTTCTATTTGAAATTAATTCAATATTTAAAAGAAAGTATTAAGAAATAATTTAAAAATGCCGACGAAGAAATCTGATAGACAAAAAAACAACAATATTTCAAGATGATAATTATTAAGGAAAGAACACAGTACTTG